GTGTTTTTGATCGTCATAGTCGCTGGCAACATCATCGCTACAGCCACCAGCAGAAAGGTTTTCTTCTGTGTTCTTCTCGATCAATTCCTATTCTAATAGTCCGCCTCTAATACCCACTCAGTGATTTTTTACGAACTTCTGAGAGCTCCAACGAGATTATTTTATTTTTGCAGGACTCCAACGGAACAGTTTCGCAAGTCAGGGGAGGAGACACTCAAAATGATACCAAACATCTCAAAAAATGCGAGGATCGCCCAGAGTAAGGAAAAATCTTCGTAATAGTGTTCGTTTGAGCAGAGTTTGATCTTTCAGATGCCCTGTTCATATCGCAAACGGATTCTGTTACCGTGAGGATATCACCTATGAACAAAAGAAGACCTACTGTCCTCGGGGTTGTCATTTATGTGACGAATGAGAATTTTTGCCTTAATAAATGCGCAATCAATGCCGTTTCTTCGGAGTTAAGACAAACTCTGTTTGTAATTTAATCTGTTCACAGCATCATCTTTGGTTGTCTAACAGTTGGGTTTTTGATGGGTATTCGTTTTTAACGAAGAGAGCAGGAGACCGACCTTTCCAAGTAAAGCGTAGGCACCGACTTTCACTGAATAGTCTTCGCACTGTGTTAGTCCTGTGTCAAATTTCCTGTACTGGAAACTAATATTTGTTACAAAAAAGGAGTGGGGAGCCAGTCGATCATTACAACTTTGTCTTTGACAAACGAAAAAGGAGGTGAGCCTGGCGTTAGTCGGGCGATCCCACTGGTATAGATGTAATCGAAGAAGAAGCACGAGGACAATCAAGTCTTGCCTCATTTGAGACGGCTTAACTGGTAGCGCACCTGTGTGCGGTAATAAAACAGTGGCTCGTAATATTGCGGTTTCACAAATCAATGCATAGGGCACATGTGCCCGTTGAAACTCCACGATAATTCCAAACGGATGTGAGATGCGTGGGCGCATCTCGTCATCAACTTCCAACACACCAAATGACTTTATCCTTCACCCTTTAATTGATGACCAACTTCAAACAAATGCATATGTGGGGTGAATAACATAGTAAGATTGGAGGTGTTATTTTGTTTTTTTTTTCTTTTTTAAAAAGGCTGTAAACTGCTCGACTTCATGGCCTTCAAACACCATTCGGCATTAATTGTGGTCCATTATGGTCGAAAAACACTGGGAATATTTCTGAAAAAGTTGGGTTTTCCATAGAAAATCCCTGACGCAATACATTCCTAACAGAACATATAAGATCGCCTATGTATTTATTAGTTCTCGGGTCATTGCATGGGTCTATTGCTCGGCAGTAGAGGTCCACTTCTTAACAGAAGATTCTAATTTCTGCTGGAAGGGGCATGGTCTGGCGCTATTACTGTCAGATTAGTATGAACAACAGTTCATTGTTAGCCGGAGAGAGGCCACTAAAAAGGACCTTATACTCAGGTGGACAGTACTGATGACTACCCCTACCCCTGCGGAGGTCCATAATCTGGCTTCGAGCTCATTTACGCTTGCCTTCGGCACAAAAGTCAGCAGATTAAGCCAAGTGGATTGGAACTTCGCGAGTTCGTCACTGCTTGTTACCTGAAGGCGAGGGGGTATGGAGAAAACTCCAGGTACTACTGGCCAATGCTGAAAGCCAACTAACTAGAAATTGTGGTTTTCGAGCGTTTCGAGTGTACTTCTGAGTACTTTATGGCTGACCTTTTCCCTATTCATTGAGAAAAACTAACCATTTTCTCGGACATCAATGACCGAACCGGTATCTTTATATGTGCCTGTATCTTGTCCTTGTAATTTTCTTTTTTCAAGGTAAAAAGTTTCTGAGCCACTAACATGTGCTAATCTCATTACTCTTGATAAAACGCCCTGAAATCAGAATCTGTTTGTATGGAAGTCTCTAAGAAATCAGCATGACTCGGATGGTTTGCAGCACTTGGCTTATATCGGTTGTCTTCGTTGATTTCTACTCTGTAGAACTAAATTATTCAGAACAGCTAC